GTCAATTATTTCATGTTCTGATCGGGGGGAATTTTTCTTACAATTTGTGTAACTCAGACCTAGAAGAGTTCCGTATGACGTCTGTTAAATTATTTTTTCGAATGATAATATCATATTACAAATGACACATTTACTATATCTATGCTGATTATTGTCAAATAATCAAAAAGGCCTGATACTGCTAGCTTAAATGATATGCCCTATTATGTTAACTACATAAATTTATTGTAAAATATATGTATAATAATTTTGATAATTGATGTTTATTTGATGATTGTATTGTGATGTTCTATCATTATAATCTTCATTCTGGAGGAAATAAAGGAGTATATTATTATTTATGTACACATTAAAATAACGATACCTGTGCACTCTTTCAATGTCCATGTATGTATATATGTTGATTAATTCTTATATGTAGCTATTCTGTTTATGTAATCTTCATTTTGGAGGAAATAAAGAGAATAATAATACACGGTCGTAAGCGGGGATATCATTATCAGAAGATCAAATTATGAATATATCCGTTGTTTCTCGTTATGTAAGTAAATTTAGCAATGAATATCGTCAAACGATGCGTAATTATTATTTTTAAATTGATATATACATTAGATCAATGATGGACTAATTTTTTATTCATTACAGCGTTTACGGTCCTGAACGGGGACATCTTGATCAGGAAATCAAATGTTAGAGATATCTGACATCATAATGATTTTCAAATGAATAATCCATTAAAAATTATAACAAAGATGAACTATTCATATAAACATCTTAAAACACACACGGTCGTGAGCGGGGACATCATTATCAGAAGATCAAATTATGAATACATCCGTTGTTTCTCGCTATGTAAGTAAATTTAGAAATGAATATGGTCAAACGATGCGTCATTATTATTTTTAAATTGATATATACATTACATCAATGATGGAATAAATTATTATTCCTAATAACGTTTACGGTCCTGAACGGGAACATCTTGATCAGGAAATCAAACTTTAAATATCTTTTGTTATTCAGCACATCAGCAAAGTTAACAAAGAACACAAAAATAAGCAACATTAGCGATGAAATACTATTTTGTAATAATACCATTGCTGCCGCCAGAACTCCGTACAGCTGCCATCCGTGTTACATTTCTTAATATCCCTACTGCTGGACAATAGGTTTTAGTAATCCAAAATCCACTGATAGTCACTAGTGTTACGTTCTCTTTTGTATTACTGATGATTTCTATTCTAAATTTCCGTTGCCACCAGTTCAAATTAATTTAACAACAAAATAAATTCATTTATATTCACATTTTATTTAAAACACAAGTATTTTAATCCGTCACAAAATATACAACTCTTCACCATTGTGAACTCACTCTCTCCACTCAAAACAATTATCTCCAACTATAAACTGTAAAAGTACAAATATCTACAAAATACAGCCAACACTACTATTCTTATTAACTTCGAATTCCTATTTATCATCTAACTGTAGCTTTCTAACTCTCCTCTATGTCTCTAGGGCTTGTTCTCGTTTCCCCCATATATATATCGATAACATATAAAGATATTTGAACCTCAAAAAAGTATTAAAACCTTATTTTTACCCAACAAAGCTACAAGTCACACATGTAACTTTCACACAGGTAAGTTACCTGTGGGGTAAGTATGAAACAGACTATAGTTGGTTTGCCATTGTCTTCCTGAATCAACATTTTCCTTTATTATATAAAAAGTAGGGGAAACGAGAACACCCCGTTCTAGGTGGGTGGAGTTCTAGTCTGTGACATAGTGTTTGTGCCTCCAGCTGATCTGACCGCGGGGTCAAATTTAGCAAGATTTATGGCCAGCTTCACCTAGTCGTAAAGGGGTCAAATGTAGTTGGATGATTTATAGGCTCATTTAGTTTGAACACTTAAACGGCTAATAAATGGATAGCAATACTGTACATATACATCTAAAAACAAATAATGTCCTTAGCGAGGACGTCCTGATCAAGTAATCAAATGTTAAATATATCTGTTGTTATTCATCACATCAGTAAAGTAAGCAATGAGTACGTTCAAAAGATGTGTCATAATGATTTTAAAATGTAAAACAGGTAACATGAACGACGAAATATATATGAAAGATAAAGTACTTTAGAAATAGTTTAATTTCTGTTTCTAAATCACATGCAGCCATCTCTTACCTCTGCGCATTGCCAATTGTGGTATTCGATCCATTAATTCGAATACAATGAGCACGTGTTTTCCTGATCAGGATGGTCCCGGTCAGGACCGTATACGCTACTAGCTATATAATTATAGACTATACGGCTAACAACAATTCTTGTAAGCCGGGGTTCTATTTCTCAATCAATACGACTACTCTAATGACAATATATACAGCGATCTATTTTTTAGTTTATAAATGTTTATATGTATATATGGGAAGAAATTACCCTTTTCCTGATCATGATGTCCCCGCCGAGGACCGTGTTGGTTAGAAGAGGTATGTTTTAAGTATTTCATTGTTGATGTAAAGTACTTTCCTATTTAAAAATCATAACACGGGACCCTGAGCTTGGCCATTCGCATTGCTTTCTTTGTGAAGTCGATAAATAACCAAATACATTATTTCCATTTGTTTTCCTGATCAGGATGGCCCCGGTCAGGACCGTATACGTTACTAGCTATAGTTATAGATTATACTGCTTATAACCATTCTTGTAAGTCGGGGTTCTATTTCTAAATTAAAACGACTCCTCTAATGACAATATTCACTGCGATCTACATTTTGTTTATAAATGTATTTATGTATGCAAAAAATATGATTTTATTTCCTGATCATTTTCCATCGATGATGTGATGTATTTTCCATTTAAAAATCATTACGATACTTCTCTTGACCGTTCGCATTGCTAGTTTTTTGTACTTGATCAATACCTACGTAAATAATTTCCATTTAAGTTCCTGATTAGGATGCCCCCGCTCAGGACCGTAGACGTTCTGATATCTATATATGGAAGATCAAATACGTTAGAAATAGTTTCATTTCTGTTTTTAAATCATATACAGCCATCTCTTACCTATGCGCATTACCAACTGGTGTATTTGGTCGATTGATTCGAATATGATGAGCTTGTGGTTTCCTGATCAGGATGGCCCCGGTCAGGACAGTATACGCTACTAGCTATATAGTTATAGACTATACGGCTTATAAATTTGGATATTATTGGTTTATTGATACGACCCCTCTAATGATTATAGACACTGCTACCTACATTGACAATAAAAATGTTTACATATATGGATATATATATCTTATTTCCTGATCATGAAGTCCCCGCCGAGGATCGTGTTAGTTGTAAGAAGTACGTTTGAAGTATTATATTGTTGATGTAATGCATTTTCCTATTTAAAATCATAAAGACGCTACTCTTGGCAGTCCGCATTGCTTATAAGATGTACTTCTCTTGACCGTTCGCATTGCTAGCTTTTTGTACTTGATCAATACCTACGTAAATAATTTCCATTTAAGTTCCTGATTCCTGGCCCCTGTCCAGGACCGTGTACGTTATAAGAAGTATATTTTAAGTTTTTGTATATTGATCTATTTAATTGTTGATGTAATGTATTTTCAATTTCAAAATCATTAGGACATCTCTCTGGACCACAAACTTTGCAATCTTGATTTATTTCATAAATAACTACGGTTATATTAACCATTTGATTACCTGATCAGGATGTCTCTGCTTAGGATCTTATACTAGTATGCAACTCGAAGATAAAATACCATAGACATAGTTTAATTTCTATTTCTCAATCACATTTACTCATCTCGTGACTCTAATAACTGTCACCTTTATGTTTTTGATCCATTAATACGAATATATTGCGTACTTGATATCTTGATACGGATGTCCCTGTTCAATACAGGATACGCTCCAATATCAACATATATTTAAAAAGATCGAAGACTGATTTGATGTTTTTTTCTATATTTTAAAATCACCTCTATTGACTGCAAACTTTGCTGCCTTTATACATTTTATAAATAACTACGGATAGATTCACTATAAGATATCCTGATTCGGATGTCCCTGCACAGGACGTATACATTATAACTTGGAATACAAAGATAAAGTACTATAAACATAGTTTAATTTGTATTTCTAAACCATCTTCATTCCTCTCTTGACTGTAAACACTGTCACCTTCATGTACTTGATCCATCAATACGGATTTAATAAGTACTCGATTTCCCTGCTCAGGATGTCCCTGCTCAGGACCGTATACGCTAACAGCTTCAGTTATAAACCATACGGCATATAACCATTCTTATAAGTCGTGGTTCTATTTCCTCAATTAATACAACCCTTTAAATGACCATATACACTGAACATTATCTTCCTTTAGTTTATAAATGTACAAATGAAAAATATCTACGTTATTTCCTGATAAGAATGTCCCAGCTGAGGACCGTATACACTATAAAATAAAGTTATAAGATATCCAACTGTTATATCATGCTCCAAGTCAGGACGAGTTATATCCTATTTGATTTAAACATATTTTTATTTGCATCTAGTATACAAAAGGATTGGGCACAAGTTGTCCAACTTATGTAAAGCCCTTTCCCTATAACATAATGAATTTTCAATTAAGTTTAGTGTTAGTGAGAGAGAGAGAGAGAGAGAGAGAGAGAGAGAGAGAGAGAGAGAGAGAGAGAGAGAGAGAGAGAGAGAGAGGTGGGGAGTTCATAGCTGAAGATATTTAATGTGAGACCGTGGTAGTGATCTTCTCCGACACAGACGGCACTAGTAACTGTTCATCACTTCCCGTGCCTCTGTTGCCTTCTCTTATATCCTATCTCCCCGGTCCTGCCCAGTGAGAGACAGCGCACGCTGTCATAGTTTCGTTTTGTCCTAGCGCTCGCTATAAATAGAATCGCCCGCACACACTAGTACTGTGCATAATTATGTAAAACAGAAACACGGAAAACCCCGAACATAATGTTTCGTAGAAATGCGTTTTTTTTTATCAATACACTATGACATCAATCAAACACAGGAAGAAAACATCTATTTTGATTTACTATGTGGGTTGTATCCATTTGTTCGTTCTTCTTTGTATCCTCTGCTCACGTAAGTATACTAATTAAACAGTGCGTTCGAGTGTACCAAAAATGGTAATAACGAAGAGGGAGAATATGCTGGTGTAAGGATGGTGTTTGTGTTTGAATGTATGTATACTACAGATATTACAATTAAGAACTTAAATTTCTTCCGTATAACCAGTGACAGTATCTTCACTATACGTCCCTGGTATAACTGTTATGTTTGTTCAATATCCAGATGGTCGAAATTGAACATTACCAAAATGTACATAAATATTAAATGCGACTATTTGTATATATTCTATCTTACGCTGCTATATATAATATTTTATATCATAATACTGGGGATCGGTCTGCATAATTATGTACACTGGCACAGCTGGATTTATATTGATCAGAAAACTGTGCATTTTTTCCTTGTCTCCACAATACGCATCGATCCGGGAAGCCCTGCCTGGTTACTAGCTAGAGACTCTACAAAGCCGAATCGTCAGGCAGCAGGTACAGCGGCTTGTATTTTATCACGGTGATAAATCATCAACGTCGAATGCGGCCTGGCAGATTTGAAGCATTTATTTTGTATTATGGTTCAATTTTGACAGTATACACGATCGCAGTATTTATACTTCGTTGCTGTACAGCAGTACATTTTGGTGGTATACTTTTACTTTTACGTTACAAAATTATTGTATGTTTGGTCCCATACCATTACCGAAAGTGTAACTGAAAGGAAACGATTTATCAATGTTTGTGTTTGTATATACCACATAGAAATATGTATACAATATTTAGTTTTCGTTGGTATTATGATATATGACACTTCTTCTTCCTGATTTTTTTCAAGTAAAAGAATGTGAAACATAGGTTATAATAACGTTTTTATAGAACAAAATACTCCATCATTTGAACATAGAAAATTTGAAAACCTGGGTGAAATAGTACGAAATTTTTGCGCCGAATACAGTCAGAAACAGAAGATGGCCGAAAATTAGTCGACACATTTGAATAATTTATGCGTCGTTTCTATGTGGTATACAAAACACAAACATTAATACATCGTTTCCTTTCAGTGTTACACTTTTGTATATCGATTTAGGTCACTGTTACCTTTGTCTTTTAAGAAAATACCTCATTTATATAACAGTTGTTATGATTGAAATATATTGAAAACCTGATGGGGAAAACGTATCATCATGTCGCCATCCTCGGCCATATTCCCCTTATTCCATTGAGTTCCGAGTGACTGGAGCAGACGACAACAATGACGTGGCAACGTGATCATCGTTTCCATTGTGTTATAGTTTTATTTCGACATCATTAAATATTTATTGTCCTTTCGGTAAGAAAACATGATTCTTTGTTACTGCTAGAGTGGTCCTGTTTCACTAGGGCTTCAATGCACAGCTGCCGCTATTATATTTCAAAACTCTCCGGCGGGACATGACGCGGCATACAGCGTATCTATTTGAACTGTGACCGACATCCCCAAACAAGTATAGGGGTGGTCGGGTGGCGCAGTGGATAGCGAACTCGTCCTTCACCAAGACAGCCTGGGTTCGATTCTCTGATCGGACTTGAAAAAATAATAGATCACATAACCGACTATATAGGTTTTCTCCTGGTACTCCGGTTACCTCACACATTAAGGGTGCCGGCTAACACCCGGGCTAACAAGAGTGATACTTACATGTATAAGGTGATATAACGTGTTTCATAATTGTTGTAAAGTAAAGCTTTTATTTTGTTTTAGTATATTTCGGTCATTTGGCATGGATGATATTACCGTCCAGATACATATTAAGTCACCAAAAAACTTGAAACTTAAATATACATTAACTTCAATTTTAGGCAGCTTCACAGAGTATGGTAACACACTTGGTTGACGCTTTTCAACATGTGGAATGTATCAGTGTTATCTGTCATGCCGGGAGCCGTGAGTATTAAAATATATTAAATGTACTATAAATATCGGTTACATCAAAGCAAATATACGCAATCTGTTGATTTATTACATATTTACACATGCTCTCGTTATCTCCAAACATTATACATGCATTATGCATGATGTATTCTGAAACAGATAAAATATTATTACAGTGATCTATATGCTATCTAACCCACAGTGTCAGATGATTTGTTACAGTATATTTAGGATATTATTTTAATGAAAGTTAATATAAACCCATAATACGTGTACAATTACTCTGAACACCTAATTATAGATTAGGTCCAAACATCCTGTAACACATTCTCAAGTCCCTGTGATTTAACCGTTTTCTTCCTGTTGTGAAATCAATTTGATACTTTGAGAAAGTGATGTAAAATAACGCATGCAATATAAGTGCCGTCACTTGAAGACATATCTATTAAAGATGAGTTCTCGATGATTGTCCGTCTCTCATAATGTTTAGCTATCAATTGCAAATATCTAAATATATGGTGCAATTACGTATTTTGATATGTTTCAATGTGTTTTTATTAACATAGATATAAGAAGGACAAGTAATTTCAGACGCTTGAACCACTCGTCCACCGCGCGCGATCCCTCTTCAAATGGGTTCAAGTTAATAGTAACACTATTATTCTGCTATTTTATTGGTCCCCCAAAATACCCTATTGACATCAGTCTTCGTCCGTCATTCGTCGTCCATTAATAATTGAAATTTTAGACTTTTTAGACATTGACGCTGTCATTCGCAGAGGTGCCAAACCTTTAAAGAAAATCTGCTAAATAATCAAGAAGTTTGGAGTCTTGCTATATCTCCTCTAAGGTGAACGGCTATCATCTTTATGAGAATATATTATCTTCGCCCACTTTCAAGGTCACGGTGATCATTTTGTTTTAAATTTTGGGATAAAAAGCTATCAAGTTTGTTTTTCCAGGGCACATGAATCTAAAGAACCTATAGATCAAATGCCATGTTATTTAGTTTGTAGCACGCTGAGGTAAAGAGCTATACATTTTGTTGAAATTAATGACTTTTGCTTAATTTTAGGATAACGAGACCTCTATATCACCGATGCCTTTGACCCTTATATTTGGACCGTAGCCTATTGGAGTAAAAAGACGTGACTGAAGTCGAATTGAGCTGGCAATCATTCAATTTTTAATCCCGTAACTGAAATTTGAATAAATAAGAAACGTGTTATTTCCGGTTCTTAGAGTATAATAAAAAGGACCAGAAAGGTGATTTCACAAGAATTCATATTTATTGATGACTTATACAAGATTACATTTCATGAATGTTTTAATATGTTTTAGAACTATCCTTCTGCAAGAGGAACAAAACCTCGGACTACTGTCATATATGTCCCGTAGGAAGTTCACAGCCAATTCGCGTAGACTCCAGCAAAGTTAAAGAAAAGAAGGGAATCTCGAAGTGCATGCCAATTGACCTTGACTGTCCACCAGGTAATACCCTAAATGAAATACTGCAAATATTTTGCAAAATATGTATTTTCCTATATTTTGGCGATGGGAATTTACTTTATAACATTTATACCAGTGAAATCAATTACGGGCTTTTGATGATGTGAATTTAAAGTCATATGGATCTGGGAAAGTTATATTAACCTCTTTCGTCTCGGTCAATATCACTTTCTCAGGTCAATATAACCAGATATTTACCGAAATAAAAGTCCTTAATTATAATATTAGATGCCAAATAATGTTTCAATAATTAAAGAAAAGATATGGAACATCTTAAAATTGTACGGAGGTAAATATTGCATCTGGCAAAGAGAATTGTGACGTTACAGTTAAAACGACGTAACAAAATGAATACTAACCTTCTGTTTGTAAAAATAGTAACACCGAGTTAAAATAACAAATCACTGACCTCCACGTGATACTGATCCAACCAATGAGAACGTAGGCAAAATGTGTGTCATCTAGTAAGGTTTTATTGTGAAAAAGTTCCACTCTAAACCAATCAATCACAGAGCAGAATCTAGGGGAAAAAATAACAAACAATGGATATTTTTACTTTTGACGTCATTGACATTTTTGTATTGTGACGACATAATACAACATTCATATATTCATGTCTCAATATTTCATGGCGTAAGAACCATAGCTGTTGATAGGACGTTAAACAATACTAAACCAAACTAAACCAAACGTCATGGCGTAAGAAAGATTTTCAGTTCACGAAAATCAATGTCTCTACAACGAAAACATAATAAACAAAGTGTATTTGGTTTCTTGACGAATGCTCATTATATTTCACCCGTGGGTTGAATGTTTTCAAAATATTTAAACCATCCTAAAATATATGACTTATTCATCAAGAAATAAACAAAAATACAATAAAATGATCAATTCGGAGATCAATAGCATTATTTAAGAATCGATTACATCTTATTGTTATTTCGTTTTTTGTAATCAAAGTCCTTAGTTGGCTCCTGGTAACACCAATAAGTCCTAAAAGGACGAAACAGCTGTATGACGCTGTGCTATTCATTTTGGGATACTGTGTCTATTACCAAATTTTGTAGATGTTGTCACATGTTTGTATGCCTTACGTTCACCTTTGAAGCTATTTTTTTTTTAAAATAAATCATATATCCTTTTATTAACGTATTTCGATAACTATAAAAGTGTTTCATTTAGATAAATATCTTTTGTTTAGAAGCAGTACCCATTATCGAAAATGGAAAAACGACTGGGTGCAAGTGTGACACTCTCCGTGGATATGCTGGAAGAGATTTCATGCTATGCCAGAGCTATCCAAAGTGTTCGCCTGGGATGGCGTTTCAATCTCATGGTGAGTTGACAGTATACCTCTAGGCACCAGGAAACTATGACAAATTATTTTTTATGTAGTATGTTATGTTATCAGGAAATCTAAAACGAAACTTCGACGTCGTATGTACTTAAAAATCTTATCACAAGTGTTCTGACTTTCCTGGTTGCATTACGTAGTAATTATTGTTTTCCTTCTACAATTAGTTCTGAAAAGTTACAACACTTTTATGTCTGAATAGTTTTTCATATTGATGCGGATATTGTGATGACGCGATCCTGTCGCAGTATGTTGATACCCAATCGGAACAAATATCGGGGGAAGTAAGTGGATATTCCCCCAAAAGATAAAACCCTCGAAAACAAAAACCCATTATGTCTGTTTTTATGAAAATATTGCTCAAAATGATCATTTTTTTCAGTAATTTGACAAACAAAATCCCATTTTCGTTTCTAGATGGCACATGCAGTCCTTGTCCAGCTGGGTCATTTAATTCTGAGTGGAGTTACGGATCGTGTACACCGCATACCAAGTAAAGTATCGAAAACACCACGGAACCTCTTTAGTCAACATGCTTTAATTAACAGAACGTACCTATCATAACGTTTTCAAAAAATGCCTGACATAAAAGTTCAATTTATTATGCATGGGATAATGTTTCGTGTCCGTTTAATATACATAGAGTAACGTTCCTTTTCCATTTAATAAACCTAGAAACACTTTTATTTTCTAGTTAATATACATAGAAAAAGTCTAGTTTACCTTTAATATACATGGAATGACGTCTAGTTTCCGTATAGAACACATAGAACAACGTTTAGTTTCCATTTAATATTCCTTGAATAAAGTCTTTAAATAGAACGAGAACGACGTTTCCAAAACTGTAAGAATACGAGAAGTACACTGAACTATTTCAATCTACATCAGTACTCAATACCAGTGTCGATATTAACAGGGATTGGTGTATCACCTTTAAATGTAAAAAAGATATTGACAGTTAAATTGTTCACCGACACCGACTGAAAAACTTATTTAGTATCATGTGAATATATTGACGAGTCCTGTATGACAGATATATACGAGCGGAAAAAGAAACTGTGCATGCGGAGAATTGTTATAGAACATATATTACCAACTGTATATACATGAAAATGCACACACATTACCGAGTATGACACATACACACTATCCGTGTGTCATTGACAGTTTTTCCCGCGCAGTTTGCTCTCTATAGGCGTTGACCAGTTTGCACGTTTTTCTCGTCCAGACATCCAATTCGACAATGAAAGTTTATTTTTAACTGTTGGGTCACTCTGTTGAGACCAGTGAACAGTAAAAACAGCATTATAACGTTTTAATTTGTGATTAATGCTATGCCGAGGCTCAATGAAAATGACCGCCTCCGGATTATTGGTATGCTTCAAGCTGGTATGGGCCAAGCCGTTATCTCTACCCGTTCTCATGTCCATCGAAACACAATCCGTGATTTGTGGAGACGACATCAACAGTTTGGCCACGTCGGCGATCGACCTCGTGCGGGACGTCCACGTGTGACGTCACGTCAACAGGACAACCATATTCGGCTTGTCCATTTGAGAAATCGCTTCCAAACGGCAAGTTTGACTGCATGAACACTCCCTTGGTTGCTACCAATAATCCCGAGAACTGTACGGAACCGATTGCGTGAACGAGCTATCCGTCCGCGACGTCCTGCAATCCGCCCAGTTCTTCTGCCACGTCATCGTGTAGCACGTCTGGACTGGTGCAGAAGGCATCTGCGATTTACCCGACGGAATTGGGCAGGCATTTTGTTGACGGACAAGTCGCGAGTCCACCTGGATAGTAGTGACGGCCGTTCCAGAGTGTATCGTCGCGTTGGAGAACGTTTCCGTGACGCGTGTGTGGTACAACGACGTTCGTTCGGCAGAGGCAGCGTTATGATATGGGGCGGCATCACAGCCAACGGTAGAACGCTTCTGGTGGTTGTTAACGGGAATTTGAACGCGCTACGTTACCGTGACGAGATCCTCCGGACCCACGTCGTTCCATTCGTGCAACGGACTTTCTTGCCCTGCGGTCCCGATCTGTCGCCCATTGAACACGTCTCGGATGAAATGAAGCGCAGATTACGGGCATTACCTAATCAACCGGTGACGTTGGCTGATTTGGCTGCAGCGTTGGTACAGATCTGGAATGCCATCCCACAAGCATTCTTGAACCGTCTAATAGGCTCCATGCATCGACGTTGCCAGGCTTGCATTCAGGCAAAGGGTGGACATTAACTTTGTGAACTCAGTATTGACCCCTGCTGTGTTTACGTCACTCCTGAACGGAACTTATTGATTCCATTACGTGGAAAATGGTGTGCAACTGTTAATAAATAACAAATAAATTGTCCCTGAAAACCTTGTTGTTCTACGGCAAATACATTTATTTTTAAAACACATTTGAGGCATGCACAGTTTCTTTTTTCTGCTAGTATAGTAATAACTTGCTTTTTTGACGTTCGGTATAGAAATGAATTTTAATAGTTTTTTCATTCCTCTTTTTTCATTTCTGGCAATTATTTTGCGTCGCAAGTTGCTTAACTCTGCTGTTGAACTAACTGTTGAGCTACCTTGTAGCTCGGATTTATAATGACACGGTTTACATCAAATATAAGTTCAACAATAATTTGTTCTACTTCATCCAAAAGGAATAAGCTTACATGTTTAACGATGTACTCGCGTTGTTGCCCTCTGGAATCGGGGCGAGTTTATTATAACAGCGAACAATTTCGATTTTTTAAAGGCACAATTTCATGACATAGTCATGAGCAAGATCGTGTATATCTGTCGAGGGATACGATTCTGTACGAACCTGACCGAGGTAAAGGTGACGTTCGTATGTTATCTTATTCACAGACTGATATGACCCGATCTCGATCAGTTTCAGGAAGTAACATTTATTTCATGTGCATTTCATTTGTTAGAAAAAAATCATCATAGTTTACATGTGTTTCGTCTTGGGACTTTGGGTAATAGGGCCCTTCCATTATACAGATGCGTTTATAATACTTCCGTGAAAAAACCTAGTCATGAGATATTCAAAAGTTAGATTATATCTTTTGTATGGTTCGTGGATTAATAGAATTTATATTGCCTTTAAATAACAAAATGGAAGATATTAAATGCAGGATGTTAGTTTGTTTCATCACGTGGATAAAGAAATCGCCGCGAGAAAAAACATGCGGTAAATTTCACGCAAAGGTTCAAACAGGATAAGATAGAAAAATCTAGCAAGGGCTGCGGAAAAAGTATAGCTGAAGAAATGCGTCACATTTCTATTTTATCATAAATAAATTACGTTACATTTGACATCATTACCTTACAGTTGTACACAACACAACCGAGAAACTGTTCTGGTTGGTAACGCAACGATGGACACTGTCTGTGGAGGAGAGCAGTTGGAAACACATGTAGTCATGTACCCTGCTGTAACAACACACGCTGTATTGCAATTGCATAAAATGGCTGACTTCAGTGACGGACAAAAAGAAACCATCCAATCAGACACCGTTGGAGGTATGCATATATAGCTGTCTAAGCGATTGTGTGTATTTATTTTCATGGTGAGTGATGTTAATATTTGAATAGTGCATTTTTGTCTCGCAAAAACGAATGAGAAATTATTAATGTTTGGCAGAAATCAATTTCATGACTACTAATGACATATTTTTCCTGCTAGAACCATTTGCATATAGACTACTTGAGTAGTTACATTAACGAAAGGACCTGCTAAATCAAATTTCATTTAGTTTGTATCGGAAGATATTTGTAGATTGGAAACTTTTAGTTTAGGGAAGCAGAACAAAATTATGTTTTATTCTGTAAACTATTATAATTTTGTGACTTTTAGTTCGCCAGGAGAGTGTTATTATGATGACAAATATTTCGTCAATATTCTTTTTCTAACACATTAGATATACACCTAGGAACATGTACTGGTCTTTGTTTCGTTTGCGAATAGAACAAACTCTTCATTAGTGTTTCATTAGAATAGTGAAAATAATTATTCGTGGAAATTGAATGATTGACAGTTCAATATGTACATTTATGGCTTGTGCTGAAGTTGAATGTCATCTAACGATTGAAGCCCGACACAAGTGGTCCTCAACAATTTAACGATAGGTGTTACATAGCAAAGCATGTGAATTATATTTATCAAAACTAAATTGATATCAAATCCTTTTAAATCAAAGTGAATCATACTCCTCGAAGACGCTAGACAATACTGCATACCGGGTTATTTTCGCTGAGTGAAACTTTCATTTCTTTCTAGTAAATCCGTATTTGCTCATTGTGAATTGCGCCTTTCAAATGGAATTGCAATGGAAAGTATGAAGTAAGTTAATACTCGCTGTAATGTTAAATTCGCCGCCATAATGGAATGCAAAATCAGCGAAAATAAAACTGCGGCGAAAATTTTCCGGTGTACATTATACAGTACACGTAAGATAAACATATGGCTGGAATTATTTGTTAAATTAGATATGATTGGACACCAGATTCTGTCTTAAAGTTGAATGTGTTTTTTGATGATTACAGGTGAAACACTCCAAGCTCCTTCGGACAATCTACCGGTATTAAGCGAGAAACACACAAATAGGTATCATTCTATTTGATTTCATAACCATTAAAACAATCCTGTGTATGCTTTTGAAAATTCACTTCTTTGAAAGAATTATAAACGTTATATTATTTCAATAATTATTATCTACAGTGCTGGAGGACTAGTTAAAACAGTACATATTTCCTCTGTCGATGATTTGTATAACCATCTTAGGTTTAATTATTTACTAATTCATTATTCAAAACAACAAACAAATGAATTCTGCTGACACGAACGTGCATTATCTATTCCTTATTTATCATGACGGTATATATGTTTAGTAACACAATGGATATGGGGCGATATTAATCAATTATAACGTTATCAAATTAAAGTGGACTATTTCAAATACTTAAACATATTGGCTTTGCTGGCTAAAGGAAATTGTTTTGCGACTCTGGTCGTTCACCAAGTAGATTTGTGTTCCTATGTTTGATAAAACTAACATTTTATTTTTAATACGTTTTTTATATTTGTTTTCTTTTCGTTCTCTGACAATCTTTTTCTCTACAACTTGTAGTCTTCTGTATTAAAAAAAATATAACTGTAGTCAGACTTGACTAGGGTACTGCTGCTGGTCAAGTATCTTAGTTTGTTAAAGTGACCTATTGTGGTAGAATGTCCAGTGTTCCAGTCCAAGAATGACCTGCCTGATACATTTTTTTTGCCACAGAGCACTGTTTTGTTTTTTCTTATCCCTTTTCTTTTTTTTACATAAAAGATTCGCAAGGTATTGGTTTCTTTTAAGGAACAATTTATTACAGCCAATGTTATGCAGGTGAAACGTTTCTAATTTATAGTTACACAGTTGTTGGCAGTGGTACATGGATCCTTAATTTAAAAAAAATGTCCTGTGCACTTGATTTGCTATTACTACTGTTATAATGAAGGTTACGAAAACTATGTTGAGTATGAACTAGTAAATTTTGTGTTTTCTTTGACAGAATCCTGACCATTGCGGTTCTAGTTATGGGTATATCCATCTGTGTCTTAGCTTTGCTGTTAACTGTAGTTATCCTCAGATTCCGGCAACGGCAAGCAGGATCATGGAATGCTAAAACGGGTAAGTTAAAAATAAAGAAAGGCGGTTGAGTCATTGATATGGTGTTTCATTTCTCAAACATGTGACATCTGTATATATATTTCTTTTTGAATGTCCGTGTTAACGTTAACTCTGATTTAATTGATGAAATATCATGTAGAGTCATTCCGATTCATCTATATATAACACACTGACACATGTAAATTACTGTTCCTTGGCTGCGAGGTGCTCACACTAAAATGGAGGATATGCTAAAAAAAATACCAAACCCCCCCCCCCCCCCCCATTATGTCTGTGTATTTCCTCAAGCTGTTTACTTTTTTTTCTTCCTTCACGGGTATACGATTTGTTGTATTCCCACTTTCAGAGCTCACTGAAATATTGTAAGATATAATTTGAAAATCATCAGTTAAGTGTTATGTGATTTAAAACATGTATGTCGAATCTTGGAATCCTTATTATGTTTATTTTGCTACGTAAGTTGGCATTGAAGACGTCATAACATGTGAGCAGTTGATGCAGGAGAGCGGCAACGATAAACAAGGTAAGGATATATTATTGTATAAGATGTATAAACGATTGTTTAATCTATACAATATAAATTATATATACAAATCTATAGATACTAGACAAACATTGCCGTCTTCTATGTAAACATTTTAAGCTTTGTAAACTCTGCATTATATTTAATCAGTTAGACTACATAACGCTTTGTTTATGAAATAATTGTGTTCATGCATTGTTAAAATGTGTAAGCTTGAGTATAAGATCAACGTACATTTTTTTGTGTTACGTCAAACTTCAAGTTTGTTAAAAGTTAACATCGTATAAGAAATGTCTGTATAGCATCAGAGTATATGTGAAGCCCGAGCTATATAAGTTCATGTGGGAAAATCAAAGTATGCAAGTATATGTATATAACATCAAAGTATGTACTTTTATGTTTTAAGTCAAAGTATATAAGCTCAAGTATAAGAAAAAAGTGTTTAAGTTCATGAATAAATCAAAAGTATATAAGTTCATGTATAAGACCAAGGTATATACGTTTATTTATAAGACTTATTGTTTAAGGTCATGATTAAGATCACAGTGTATATTTAATTTTAAATATCAAAAAATATTTATTAGTGTATAAGACAAAAATATATTTACATTTCCATTGCAAGTTCCTCTATGAGCACTTCCTGAAGAAATTGTGTTCATAGGTAATATGAACGCAATTGGATCAGCGTCATTTCGAAATTTCTCCTCCCGCCTCGAATAATATACATTTTGATGACATTAGGCTGTTCCAGGAATCTCAATTGCACCGACGACATAAACACTTCAATATCGGACATATAAAGGGATACATATATTCAGGTCAATTATAAGTAAACATTTAGAATGTAAATATAAGGATTGAACGGATTTTTTTCAATGGTCATGCCGGTATGGACGCAAATAGGTTACATACATATTTACCATATATATGTAACCGATTTACGTACATACCAGCATGAAATATATGATCAATAAATGCTAGTTTATGTTTGAGATAAAGTATATAAGTTCATGTATACGATCAAAGTATACAAGTTAATATTTAAGTGTACTAGTTCATGAATAAAATAAAAGTATATAAGTTCATGTATAAGATCAAAGTGCATACGTTCATTACAGAGATAAAAGTAAATAAGTTCTATATATGATCATGGATAAGATCAAAGTGTATACGTTCATATATAAGATTAAAGTATAAAAAGTATATAATTTGTTTTATCAGATAAAAGGTTAGAAGTTATATTGAAGATAAAAACGTATAAAACGTTAGTTTCTTAGTTCAAAGTATCCAGAAAGATTTTTGTTAAGATCAAAGTGTATACGCTTTATGAATAAGACCAATGTGAATATGAAACAACACGTTTAATCACCTGCAATAAATCACAGCAATGTTGAACAACATGTTGATCATGGAAACAAAATCACAACAATACTGATAATTCTTAGCACATTATTGTAGTTACGAAAACATTCCGAAATGGAGGATACATCAAAAGACATGGAACGATAATTATCGGCAGCTATCAAGGATGTTTTTATGTAACAATATATATGAACCTGTTTTACGTCATTAAACAACAAATTGTTTGACGTCATTCCTAATGAAATGAAGGTATTAGCTCAAATTCAGCCCTGATTTGTTTTTCTGTTAGTTAATATTATTAGTGCCAACTGATAAAAATAAATTTCATGTATATTCATGTCGTCAATCTGTTGCCGTTTGGTTACAGCTTTATACTCAGAATCAAAATATATCATTTTGCGTTTACAAAAAACGGAAGTAAAAATGCATTAGAACTAATGTGATAAGGTTAAGCATATCGATTTTTTTTGATCAAGAAGCTTTGTATTATTAGTTCGTTTTTTTGTTTGTTTAACGTCCTATTAACAGCTAAGGTAATTTAAGGACGTACTTCCGTGTGTGTTGTGTAAGCGTGCATGTGTGCCAGACACATGGTATGCTGGTGTATTTGTCCCCTTGTGAAAGCGCTGATCTAATGCCAACTTAGATTGCTATCTCACTGATATATCATGCCAAAGGCACCACGCAAAGCGTTCCGCCCGGTTACATTATACTGACAACGGGTGAACCAGTTGTTGCCGTTACCATAAATGCTGAACGTTAAGCAGGGAATAACAACTACAAGGACTTTGGTATGTCCCTGTCTGGAGACAGAACGCATTGCCTTCCTCACATGGAAGAACTTTAACAATTAAAACCAAAAGTGTTTCCAAGCAAGGCGCTATGAAGTAAAAGGTATTTAGAAGAGTGGAGAGAAATATGAAGATCCCAAAACTTGCAATGGGTGCAGCAGATATATATTTTGGTTGCTTTTGTCTCCCCAAATAGAGGACACCAAAGCAAATCCCCGATTCTGCAGGGGGTTCCAAAATTAGACTTGAAGGTGTGTGTATTATTTGTATTTTATTGAAAATTACAATGTTTTAAATCAAGACCAATGCTTTTAGGAATCCAAGCGGAAGATGATTGTGGACCAAAAGAGACGCCGGTAGCTACTAATAATAGAGGTACGTATACTTTACTCACCAACTCCTTCTTGGTGCGGTATGATCTAGGTAATTTGACCGGTAATGAACCAATGAAACACTCATTTAACATAATTTGTTTTCTGCTTCCAATAATATCGGAGTATTCGTAACTATTTTTCAATTTATTCAATCCATTTATGTTGGTATGTTTTAGTGGTTTCAGATAACCTTTCATTGGATTGGATTGGGGACGGACAACCAGGTAAAATAGTATTATTATTTCAGTGCTTTTTAGGTCACCTGAGACAAAGTCTCAAGTGACCTATTGCAATCGCCTTTTGTCCGTCGTCGTCCGTCGTCCGTCGTGCGTCAGTAAACAATTTACATTTTCGACTTCTTCTCCAAAACCCCTGAACCAATTTCAATGAAATTTTGCAGAAACCTTCCATGACCAAAGGTCAACAACAATAGTTGCCGGTTCGGTCCCTGGCCCACAGGGGCCTGAGGGGCGAGGCAAAAAAGGGTCAAATTGACTAAAATTTCAAAAATCTTCTTCTCAAGACCCAGATATGGTAGAATCAAATACTCTTCATAGATGGAAGGTGCTCTACTAAAATTGCGAATTTCTTGACCCTGGGGTCTTACGTTTCCCCCTGGGAATTGGAGGTAATTCAATTTAGGTTAGCATTATCAGTATTGGGTAGCAGTTTGATGTTATGCACATTTGAGCCCTGACTGACCTCCCGGGGTTATTGGGTGGGGCCAAAAAGGGTTGAATTGACTAAAATTTCAAAAATCCTCTTCTCAAGACCCAGATATGGTAGAATCAAACACTCTTCATAGATGGAAGGGTCTTAAGGTGCTCTACCAAAATTGTCAATTTCTTGACCCTGGGGTCTCACGTTTCCCCCTGGGGAGGGGTTAACTTTACTATAGTTTATATAGGGAAATCACATTTTGGACCAACATTTGTTTAATTGCCATTGGAGGTAATTCAACTTAGGTTAACATTATCAGTATTGGGTAGCAATTTGATGCTTTGCATATATGAGCCCTGACTGACCCCCGGGGCTATTGGGTGGGGCCAAAAAGGGTTGAATGGACTGAAATTTCAAAAATCTTCTTCTCAAGACCCAGATATGGTAGAATCAAACACTCTTCATAGATGGAAGGGTCTTAAGGTTTATGACCCTATGGTCTCACGTTTACCCCCTGGGGAAGGAGGGGGGGGGGGGTTATGGTTTATAATGGCAAATGATACTTTGAATATTACATGTTAATAACTTGATTGGAATTATAACCCTGAGTTGACAGTTTGATACTTTGAAAGTTTTGAGTCAGCCCTACCCCCTAGGGCTGTAGGGTGAGGCCCAAATGAGTCAGTGTGCTATAATTTCTTCATTTTCCTTGTTTAGAATCAGAGGTGCTAGTTTTAAATACTTTTTAGTCTTAAACCTGTATGCTAGATATTGAATAAGGTGGTTTTATTGTTTTTTGTCACTGAATAACATTTCTGTTCGTGTTAAAAACAAAATCAACTCTCTGTATAAATATATCGGGTGACCGTTAAGGCCCATGGTCCTTTTGTTTACATTATTTCATGTTCTTTAATTCAAAAATAGTATTATAAAGATAATGGCAGACAACTGGATAGCAGTCGACACCTGTCACTGTTTCTTCATACTAAATGAATATGAAATGGACCAAATCAAATTTTCGTTGGTAAAAGATCAAGACTTGAGTAAGAGTTCTATGACCAAACTTTAACATCACCTCTGCTATGAGGATTACTCAATCGAAACGTGCATTGTTGTCAGGGAAACATTCTGAGACCTACATCGTTTCTTGAGTTGCCGATAACTAAATTTTATTATTGGGGAAATATTCGTGATATTATAATATAAAATAGATATGAATACGTACAAATATGAAGTTTGCATAGACGTTTGTTTTGACACAGAATAAAAGACGCAATTCTACTCAATTGTTACCTGTTGCATGTAATATGTACTTTTCGTGATCACCTAATTTTAAATATCGTGCTAAGACATACCAAAGTACTGCTGCTATATGATATATCTGTACGATACATATGGAAACAGCTACATTTATTTGTGATATGTTACTATAGTTACGACGTGTTTAGTTGGTTCCGATCTCAATTATTCCGATGTGACAAATACTGCGTTTTTTGAGGTAAGACCTGTGTTGACATTACGAATTGACAGATAAAATAACTTATTACCGTTGGTATCAAAAGCAAAGCCGGAAAAATGTATATTCAATATAAATATATACGTTCGCATCACATTTACAAATCTACGGCATGTAATTATCCAATAAGCGTCCAAGATACTATCATGTGACATACTTAACATGGTTTTGCTTTGCAGGTACATTGACCGTCTACCCGCAGATAAACGCCGTACCTTTTATGCCTACTGCTCCGCCGGTAACGCCGTCATTGATGATTTAGCACAAGTTATACTTTTTACAGGGAAGTGTTCGTTCCACTAGAGAAGAAAATAAACTATTATTATTTAACTATAGTTAAAGTGTAACAAAGACGGTTTCGTTCTTCATGAACATTTATTTCATTTCCTTTAAGCATATTTAAGACATTCAAGACCCTACAAGGAAACAATACAAACTAATTGAATTCTAGTTAAAAAGTGTTACAACATATATGGACAATACATATGCGTTACATTGATCTAAATTACTCGAACGTTTGAAACATAAGTCAACATTTACTTTAAAATGAAATATACATTTCATTATACAGATACCAAAATACATTACATTTATTCAATACTTAATAAATCATATATACGTGTCCAATGCGGAATTTTACACGAAGTACGCTATCTATGTACCTACCCCAACAATGGGTCAAGGGTCTAAAGATGAAATATCGGTAAGAGTTGTCAATACGACATACTGTAGTTGACTAGCTTGGTAACAACTGAAATACAATGAAATCTCTACATACTTAAGATATTAAAATTAACTTCAAATTATGTACTCATCAAAATGATCGATGACGGATATTCGCAAAATGGTAACTCCCTCGAGAATCATTCGGGGCACATAAAGGATTGCATTGGGCGCGATGGCGGAGAGGGATGGTACGAATACGGAGAGGGATACGCTATTCGATGGTATTGAACAATGCCATTTCCCGCACTCTTGAAGTGGGCTCAGACATAATGGCGGCGACAGGAACACGTGTTGTTACAACAAGCCTACTGTCCCTACGTAGATCCTCGAAATATTCCGGACGGGGAGACTTCATTTTCGACATTTTGTTAAAATCTCGTTCCTATGTAAGATATCTTATTTAGTAACGAGACTTTAATATATATTTAAAAAATATATATAAGATATCTCATATGCTATATAAGATATCTTATATTTTTTTTTGAAATACAAGATCGACATTGCTCCTTGAATAAATGTTAAGTTGGCTTGCCATAGAAATTACTAAGATTGTTTTATGAGTCAAGGAACCATATTATATCTGCACAAATTGTCGAATTTATCCTCCATAAAACATTAATTTAGATAACTATCATTAATAAGTGAACAGAAAGTCAGGATTGCATGTGCAGCGGGAAACGTATACTACAAGTCAATGGTCACTTTTGTGGCCGGCACAGTTACCAGATTTTAATATTATTGAAAATGTTTGGCTTCACATAAAAAGAAACTTACAAACACGTGTGGACTACATAATTGACGTAAAGTCGTTGCAAGACGAAATCAGAGACATATGAGAATAATTCACAAAAAAATCATATGAAGAAGTTGTACCAATGAATTCTTGGAGAATAATTAATGTAAATCAAGCCAGGGGCAATATAACCGAATATTGGAGGTAAGGGAGCTTACTTCTATAATGAAAATCTAATTGAGGACCATGCAACAGCATGGCAACACAATGGCATTGTTATTGTGTGTGCCTTAACGTATGGCCCGGCACTGTAAATGAAGTTGAACACGACCATGAGACTACCGCCGATCAGATACACAGTTGGTTAGGGAAAACTTAGTTGTGATCGAGGTCCAGGGCTCGAATCCCTGCCTGACCCCATTTATGATTACTCTCAAAACACTGGTTTTCATTTTTGTTAATTTGACAATATTTTGGTTATTTGTAATGATGACAATTAAACGTAACCGAAGAAAGCATAACTTAACATCAGTTTATACATGCTTATAGTATTTCTGTTTTGAAAGGCGAAAGTAACAATATGTTACCGGTGAAGGGCGTTAATTCACAAGTCGGACACTTCCCTGTAAGTAAATTATATATGTAAAACAGAAAATTGACGAATCTCCTGGCGGTGTTTAGGATTACACGATCGAAAGGCACTGTGGAAAGTCCAGAACAAGAAAATTCAACAGTCTCGTTATGCTCCCTATGTTTGGGACGGTTCCATTCTTGTCTAGGGTTACCTTTAGTATATAGTTTTATACTAGTGTCATAAACTATACTTTCATGTGTGTTTTATCGCGCTTGAATTATTTTTATAGTTATAGTGATGATATGGGTAGAGATCACGGCACTTGACCAGGGAGGTATCTCGAATAAAGGACACATCAGATGACCTTACATTGAAATTGAGTATGTGCATTTTTTGTATTTCTGCAATTCGTTCCTTATTTCCTTTAAAGTACCTAACTTTTTGTGTAGTATAAATGGCAGCTTAAATTGACTTTCTGTTCTTGTTTGCTTTTAATTATAAAACATCGGAATCTTATCTGGGAATGTGCAATATGAATCTATGTGGTCATATAAATATATGAGTTAAAATTTACGCAAAATAAAATAGATATATGTTCTCATATAATGTGTGTATCGTATAATCAAATTCATTTGAATAAAACAAACTGCATGTTCTTGCTGTATTTTGCCTTTTTTCTGTTTCTGTTCCTACGGCTTCGCGTTTGTCACACCCTGTTTTTTTAAGAAAAGTTCGAAGCTAGATTTGGGTGTTAGTGAAAGAACAAGCAGGTCATATCACATGAAATGGTAAACGGATTTCATCGTTGAGGTTTTTTTTTATATTTCATTTTCACGAATCGAATCATACGGTAGATATTGTACAAGTTTTTTTATTATTCTTTTTCAGATTCATGACATTTATCATTTTACACGTTTCCAGTTTCCTACAATGCAGTTGATTATTTACATTTTCTATCTATTTACTTTGTACTTATATTTAAAGATAATCAATACCTCCATTTTAAGTTTACTGTTATCATCCCGTACATGGTTAACACTCGGTCGGCTTCTAAATCCAAAATAGTTATACTGTACCGGGATGTTTGAGACTATCGTGTGACAGCCAAGGAATAGGAGGGGAAATACTGCCTTACTTGAAAACTAGCTTTTCCAACGATGTGGTATAACCCTGGGTCGCGCTCACTTGTTCAGCAACGTTGGGCGTGCTCATTGGTGGGATGGGTTCGCGCGTACCTACAACATTAAGTGGCATCGTAGTGACCCTGTGATATCATGTAAGGCCAGTTCCCGGTGGATAGGGAAGGATCATCGGTACACAGAGACGACCCACGGGATTCCAGGCCAAATCTCTAACCCTGGGACGCGCTCACATGTTCTGCAACTGTAGTCACATGATATGATAATGTTTAAATACAACACTGTACCAATTCACGGCATGAGTTGCCGTAAAGTGTCATCCGGGTCTTTGCCGATAGTGCCACTCACGGGCGGGGTCCATAACGATGTCTCGGGATGAAGAAAGTGGGAAAAAGTTGGACGTTATCACACAAGCTTTGGCAACGATTGAAGCAAACCAGACGGACTTCGATCGCCGTTTGATTTGTATGAAACGGAACCAGGCGGAGTCGTCGCCATTACAAAACAAGCTCATTAGTAGCTTGGATGCCAACCACAACGTGGGTGGATCACTCGGTCCCCCCGGCGAAGTTTTCTCTGGGGCTGCCGAGGTACAGCGGGACTACGAAACTGTTCGAGACGCCCTGCAGAAGGTAAAAGTTTATGATAACAAAACTGGGGTTAAACAAGTGAACCAAACTCACTTAGGATGTGTTAGCAAATGTGCTCGTTACACGGAGATGGCTGTTGACTCTGGATATTAATGAAAAGCCCGTCACGGACTCTGACCTCTATCAGTTATTAGGTCACCTGAAACAAAGTCTCAAGTGACCTATTGCGATCGCCTTTTGTCCGTCGTCGTCCGTCGTCCGTCGTCCGTCGTGCGTCCGTAAACAATTTACATTTTCGACTTCTTCTCCAAAACCCCTGAACCAATTTCAATGAAATTTTGCAGGGACCTTCCATGGACAAAGGTCAACAAAAAT